ATAACAATAAGAAGAAGTATCTTACAGAAAAACAATAAAATCGCAATACTAATATTTACGGTTGTCTTAATTTCTTTGTTTTCAAACGTTAAACCACTGAGCTTTCATTTTGGTGGAAATCTACAGGGAGACGCTTCGCTTTGTTGACAACAACAGATCTATAAACAATTTTCAGTACAAATTTGGGAAGATGCTTGGTGCAGGTTGCGTTCCCAAATGCAAATTATAAGTGACTCAAACACACAGCGCTTGCAGACTAGCATTTACTGTAAATTGAAACTGAAAATTCTCACAACCACGCATTGTCAAAATTCATTAAAAAAGGTTACCGGGCAACTGGTAACACGGTTTCAGCGCCGATTCATACTTGCATTTGGCACTTTGAACCCAACATGCTATGGGTGACCCACAGATGGCGGCTCGAGCTCGAGTAGCGCTGTCAGGAGCATGAAAATAAATGTATTCGAAAACACAACATTTAGTAATTGTTTAAGGCCATTTTGCGATTCTGAATATGGAAAAATCACATCCCTGACAGACAAATGAGTCTCCTTTTGAATATAGATTTAAACGCTAGCTCTTAGGGTATGTTTACTAGGGTATGGTTAAAAAAACATAGGCTATGCGTAGGCAAGTTTTTGAAAACGGGATTCAAGGTGCAAGGTTTTGGAAACTATGCCTTTACCGTCTTCATGTAAACAACAAAAACGTGAATTTGTGAAAGCGGTGACGACGACGTCATGCATGTTTTTACATGTTCACGCATGCGTATTACGTGTTCGCTGCTTCAGCAGTCTCGGTAAGCTTGTTTGGTCCGCACCAGGGTTCAGATGGCAACGTTCACACTTATTCAAATGAACCGCACTAACAGAGCAATCACACCAGGGTTCGCTTTAATCAAACCAAACATGCCAACACACCTTTATAATGTAGTGCATGAATCGTCTTTTACATAAATTGTTGAAGCTTGAAATGTCCAAGTCCTCCTGACTCAATTTGATTAAATTGAAAAGAGAGGCAAGGATTTTCTTCAAAAAAAGAATGTCATGGGTTTAGAATAAAATGAGGGTGAATATAAACACTGAATTTTCATTTTTGGGTGAATTATTCCTAAAGTGATAAATGAACATCATATTTTGAGGTTACCATCTTACCACACTATTTTAAAATCTAAATGATACTATATACTGTATAAAGAGGCAGGGTATTGTCTTTAAAAGCAGATGTCATTTACAGTAAACTGCTCAAATGTAAGGTACAACATTTGAGTAGCCCCAGAGTGCAGTCTGGACGATGGGGCGGGGCGACACTTTTAGGTGGGGCGACACGTGTCGCTCCGCCCACACCCGATTTTATTGGTTTATAATACCGCAATCTTATTGGCATAGACGCTTGAGGCACTAGCATGTGCATTCCTTTATGTACGAGTTTATGAATTATCTATGACGCTGTTTGGCCGTACTATATTAAGATATTAAGTGATAACCATTGCGATTTCAGTAACGATCAATTGGATAATGTTTTGATGAACTTACGAATGAAGTTAGATGAAGTTACTGTCAAAATGTATTCACAATTCACATCGTTTCAAAGCAGCTTTACAAAAAGTCATATTGTAAGCTTTAATATTGAGCAGTTTTATTGCTTGGCGATATCACAAAATATGTTGCTGATAAATAATACACTGTTTGAGATTTAGCCTAGCTATACTATATTAATTTACCCTGCAGATGAGTCAGTGCCACTTTTGGTGGGCAATGAGCATGACTGCATGAAATTACTGGCAGATCAAAGGAGAGATCATTTCTATGTGGGCTGATTTAGACAATATTTTTTCGCATGTCATGCAGAGCTCCTTCATTTTACATCATTCGTTTATGCTTCTTCGTTTTTCCAGTGGGATCAGTGAATAAACATAAACTCTGGATTTTACACAAATTATGATAATTCCCTGTATTTCAGTAAAACAAGGATAAATCCGAAAGTGTGTTTTATTTTATTTTTAAGCAAAACCACGGTGACAAATAAGACAGGCTACCAAATAGCAAGCCCTGGCCATTGGGTTATGTGCGTACAATGGGAATAAAATCCGTGCAGCGCTGCAATGTGAAAGAATTTTTTTTTTTTTTTTTTTTTTTACTAAAACAGATGTTATGTTGATCTATAGCAAATATTATAATGTGAGCTATGTGCTCAAGAGCGTATTTAAGCAATTGGCCTACATGTTCATATCACTTCTCTGCTGGGTGTTTTATTTATTTTATTACAGCCTATTATAATTGCACAGATTTATAGCAGTGTGTTTTTTTATGGTTATGCAGCTAGCCTATATGTGTTAATATTTGTAACCATTTTTATCCAGTAGCCTACATGAACACGCAATGCGATGGTGGATGAATAAACAATTGGATTTTTAATATACCTGATGTCACAGTCACAGATAGACAGTCGTAGGCTACATAACCGGTTGACACTTATTAGAAAACATGAATCTTTAAAAAATATAACATAGGGCTTTACAGAACCAATAGGCCCTCATTATTGTATGAACAGGTAATCAACCAGGAAACGTGTTTGCCATTAAACATTTTATTTGCACTTTGTACCAAATAATGCAAGCATTGGACAATCTCGTTAAAAAAAATGACAACAAAAAACGGTCATGCTTTAGAATTTAAAATCAGCTGCTTACATTCTTAGTCAATTATCATCATTTGCGTAAAATCCCGAGTTTGTGCTGATCCACCGATCCTGATAGAAATATGAAGAAGCCAAGTGAATGACGCACTAATCTAATGTAAAACATCTCCCTGAAGTACAAGTAACGTCACCAAGCGTTCGTTTTTAAACAATAACTTAATCTATACTGTGTCTTAAGTATATAAAGTATTAGCCAATAGATATTAACAAAAATTACCATGGTAAACTGATAATAAGATACAATTAAAGTTAGCATTTAATATTTCTTTGATACGGCCAAATCATTCACAAAATCGTACATAAAGGAATGCGCATGCTCAGACCTGAATCGTTTACACCAATAAGATTGCGGTATTATAAACCAATTAAATTGGGGGTGGGCGGAGCGACACGTGTCGCCCCGCCTAAAAGTGTCGCCCCGCCCCATCGTCCAGACTGCACTCTGGGGTACTACCAACATTTTGCATCTTTTTACAAAAAATAATAAAATCCTGAGCGATAACGTTGGTTGATGTGTTTTACAAAATGGACTTATCGGCTTTCTAGTGTGTGTGTTTTAGATAAAAATGCATGACACATACAGGGTGATAGACAGCACGCTGTGATAAACTATAGGTCACAGCCTTAACACGTCTCTGCTACTTACACTAGAAATTATTTTACACCAGAATGAACAAACACAAATGACGATGCTTTGGTTTTCAGCTTTGTATACTTCAATGCACAAATGTCTTATATAATAAAATAGTGGAAATCAGCCAACTGAGGTGTAAAACTGAATGAGGTTGGGTGTGATGTGGCAGCAATAAACAAATCAAAACAATCAGGACATCTGAAATATGACACAAAGGATTGAAAACCCTTGAAGAATTTCCAAGTGCATGGTGGGTTTATAGAAGTGGCCACAAGCTAACCATTCTCATTCTTCAAACCCATCATTGTTAGACTGACAAACCTCAAAACCATTTAAAGTACCCAGCATGCTTTTTGAGTGTCTGCTTTAGCATCATATTGACTGGGATTTCAACTTCAGCTGCAAAGCCGTAACTCAATGTCACTGCTAAAATGTTGACCTATATAGCAAGGGGCCATGGTATGGCGGGCTGCTAGGAGAGGGGCCAGAGGAGGTCACTTCCTCCCCATTAAAAACTCATCAGGGCCCGACCGACACAACAAGCCAAGCTACCGTCGAACAATGATTTCTACTCATCCTTGACTGGCTTTATAGCTCAAATCTATCAAGATGTGCTCACATATACATATGTCTACAATATCCATCAGGTAATTCAGCATTTACATTAACTTCTTTGATATATTACAGAATATCAAAACAGGTGGTTGCTCACTCACACATGCTTAAAAGTCATAATGTGCCACTTGAAAGTAAATTGCATGTTCCTTGACACAATTCAAAAAGCAATTACTTAGTTATTAAAAACAGGTCACATTGGTATAACTCACTTTGAACGTAATTAAATTTCACTTTAAAGAATGTGCTTAAGTTAATTGCATTAATCAAAATAACAGTTTCCATATCTTCAAGCAATTCAACAATATGGAAAATTGTCTACATAAGTAAATCAAGTATTGTATACTTAATACTTATAATATACTATATAGTCTTATTAAAAAAAAGGCTACCCTTTTTTCACATAGCCTACATACGTTTCACATGTCAAATAAATATCCAAGCTCATTCTATTTAAATAAATACAAAAAAAATAAAATAAGGCAGCCTACTGTTGATACTGCATAATCAGTTTACTGTAAAAAGTTCGCACAAACTTTTCAAACAGTGAGCAGACAAATGTCCATCTCTTCATCAATTTACCTGTTGGGACTGTACCTTCTGGGCACGTTGTCCGGTGAATGGATTAGAAAAGAGCACCTGAAGTGAACCCATCAGCCCAAAACGCATGCACGCTTCAGTATGTTTGTGTGCGTGTGTGTGTGTGTGTGTGTAGCAGGCACATACTGTACTGTACCAATAGAAACGGGGCTACAATATGCCTGTTAGTACAGTATGTGCCTGAAACTAGGCCCTACGTACAGCTAGACACTCTCCTAGGCGGCAACTTGTGCAATGTCAGCCGTACGTATGGAAAAGACCGCGTGCACTAAAAGCCTGTAGTGTCTTACAGTGAGGAGCCATGGGAATGAATCATTTAGCTTTAGGACCGCTGACCTGTCAAACCATGCAGCTAGCGTACACTGGAATTAGCTTGGTAGGGCAGAGGAACGCGAAGGAATGTTGCATAGGCGCGAGAGCAGTAAATAAACACGCACAGCGCGCGACTCACCGTGTGAATGTTTGGCGGGTATCAGGGAGATCGCGGGGTTCCTGCGAGTCGGCGTCGCAGATAAGTGAAAACGTCCTGCTTCGTGTATCCAGTGCAAGTGTGGAGACACTAGTGCACACAGTGAACCGATACCACCGCAGCGTGCCTTCAAACTAATGTTTCCTCCTCCTAAAAGTCCTCGGTTTACTCTTTAAGACGTGCACTAGGCTCTTGGTGGTGGGTTTTCCCCTTAGTTTGAAGGGGGGAGAGAAAAGTCCTCTGCCTTACCCGTGCTGCCACGACAGGGATTTGAAATGAAGAGAAATACTACGATCGCTCCTCCCTCCCCAGTCCCACTCATGTACAGTACCACAGGGAGCGTATAAAACAATTTAATAAAACGATCTACCGCTCTCTACAGGACCAACACTGTAAAATACTTAGATGACTGCACTCTTTCAAACTGCTTTCAGTGTCATGTGAGGCGAATGACAGCGCGGGGGGCATCCGTCAACGTCCCGCAGCATCATTGAAGATCCTCACCACTGCCACTCTGACTTAAAGGTGCACGCAGAATTTTTGCTAATTTAAAGGTTTTAAACATAGAGAAATGAACAGCAGTTTTGAGAAATTTAAAGTAATGTAATTCACATGAGAGTTTACACTCATCAGTCTTCTAGAAAAAGCTGTTTTATTTTATATGCGGGTCGCCCCCTCAGGACATCACTATTAGGCTATAGCTATAGCCTATATTAAAGGCCCGAAATGCCCTAAAACGGGCAGCATTGTGTTGATGTAATTTCAACTGTAACAGAAAGACAGGGCAGGACATATCGAACAGCTCCTCTTCTTTTTAAAAATAGCCAATACCGTTTTATTTATAAATAATTAAAGCATAGTCCAGGATAAAGGTATAGATCAGTGGGTGTGTAATTCACTAGTCCAAACTAGTGTGTTTATTTTTAAGATAATAAATTAAAATAACATAATAACAAATACAGTTTGCAGCAGCATAACGGACTGTTTTGTACAGTTAAAATAACTGGAAGCGGCTGACACCGTTTAAAAGTTAAAAATTATCTTTACATTAAAAATAATCTGTAAAGTGGATAAAATATAAAAACTATACATCCAAAGAAGCAGGCTTCCTGAAACAAACAAGCCACAATGATGTGCAGGTCTTGACACAGATTGAAGAAAAATGTTATGGGATCAACTGCCAAGTACGAACACACACTCTCATTCGCATCACAGCCACTGCAGGGCATGGGGACGGAAGTAAACAGGTGAAATGGAACAAAACTAGATAGGCTAAACAAACTGTTTAGATATAATGCAGTACCAGTTAGTGAACAAACTTCATGCATCCAAGATGACAGGTGTCATTAGAGTGCAAAACGTCTGGTGCTAATGTGATGAATAAGACTAATCTAACCTTCAAATAGTTTGTTCACCCAAAAATTAAAATTGCCATCATCTAACACTCTAACACGTTCCTTTAAAGCTTGTTCTGCTAAATCCCACAGTGAGTTGTGACAAGATGGTACGTGCTCGATACCTTTTCACATCTGTACATGCTGCCTATGGATAAATATGCTCAATTCCTTTAATTGAATTGCATACTTATGGGTACAGTATATGACTGATTAAATCTAAAACAGAATGAGTCATTTAAGATTGATTTCCATTACACGAGAGTAGATGTTAAAACTTCATGCTGATTTGTACTCGGCTTTCGCCAAGATAAGCAAAACTAAGACGTAGCTTTACAGTAAACTATGCTTCTCCATCCATTTACGCTTCTTTCCATAAGGTAGTGTGACTCCCCTTCTGTCCGGCGTTAACGGCAGCAGTGTACTTGGCGCGTTAGCGCACGCGACGGCTGCAACTACAGGACCAGCACGACAACCGTCTGGATTGAACAGAGTAGGGGACATCTCTAGGGTCTTCAAGTGGGCACCTTCCGTCCTCAGTGTTTCGTCGACTAGCCCACGACACCTCAAGAGGGCTCGACAGTGACTCTGGCGTCCCAGAGTCACCCCCCTCCGTCCCCCACTCAACTCAGCCCAGCTTACTGACCTCTACATCCCTCCTGCTGCTGAGACCTAACCACAATATCACAATCTCCGCGACCCAACCATACGCGCCAACCCGTTGACTAAGGCTGTCGAGCCCCACTGGTGCGTTAATATGCAGTTTCAGTGGACAACGGTTCCGTATGGCATACCACCTACCGCAAAACACAATATCTACCCAACCACCCGTCATTCACGCAATATCCACAGGAACGTATACAAACAAACCAACAGACTCTTCAAGTTTTCAAGAACTCTACGAAACCGTAGCGTGGCGGCCTGTACACAGCCAGCTAGAATCTTTCCGTCTCAACCACAGCCAGTTGCTGCTCCTTTCTGCTGCTTCAGATAAGTTCTTTACTGTGCGACGCAACTCTTGGCCACTGAATCCGACGTCTCTGAGGAACCGGGTTGTAGAGTGTGCCACAAAACCTCGACAACCCACTTCCACTGGATAAACCTGGACTCTCCATCCTCGCTGTTCTGCTTCAGTGGCCAGATGAGCATACCGCAGTTTCTTCCTCTCATATGCCTCATCTACCGCATCCTCCCATGGCACTGTTAACTCTATCAGTTGAACAATGCGTGCTGATCCAGACCACAAAACAATATCTGGTCGTAGGTTAGTGGTGGCAATCTCAGGTGGAAAAATAAGCCGTTGGTCAAGATCAGCCAGCATCTTCCAGTCCCTAGCAGCTTCCAGTTGTCCTGGGCGAGAATTGGTGTTAACACCTTTTCTTGGTGGTTGCTCGCCTGGGCGGAGGAATATTGTCTTCTGCGTGTAATGTTTTGCTAGAACAGGTGGCAACTTATTGGTCATGTTACGCTTGCCTTCTAATGCTAAAGCCAAACATCGCAGTACTTGGTCATGGCGCCAAGTAAACCGACCTTGGCTAAGAGCCACCTTACATCCTGTCAAAATGTGCCTTAATGTGGCAGGTGATGAACACAAAGGACAAGAGGGATCCTCTCCTACCCAGAGGTTTAGGTTCTGCGGTGATGGGAGAACATCATATGTTGACCTAATAAGGAAACTGATCCTACTCTCTTCCATTAACCAAAGGTCTTGCCAGCCCATCTTACGTTGTTCCACACTCTCCCATCTCGTCCACTCTCCCTGCTTGGCCTGTGAAATGGCCTTTATACACCTCATCCTCTCCTCCTGCTGTCGCACCTCGTTGACTACCAGCTTCCTCCTTTGAGCTGGGCCTGCCTTGTGCCATTTAGGAGGAGCTAAACTGAGCCCAAAACCCCCTCTTCCATGCTGTACCTGTCCCACGATATCCCTAATTTGAAGGGCAGCCTTTGCCTCTACTACAGATTTCTTTGCTGACCACTTTCTACCAGTTTTTAACACAGGGGCTGCCTCCCTTACACATTTGTCGCGTGACTCTACTAAGGTCATTTCCAGCCTGACCTTGGCACACTTGAACTCCTCGGTTAAAGCAGAGACTGGCAGCTGCAATATTCCTTTACTATAAAGTCCTACTCTGCTGAGGCAGCGTGGAACTCCCAACCATTTCCTGATGTATGAACTTACCAACGCTTCCAGCTTCTCCACTGTTGTCAAAGAAACCTCGTACACGGTCAGTGGCCACAGCAACCTCGGCAGTAGACCAAACTGAAAGCACCAGAGTTTTAGTTTACCAGGTAGAGCACAGCTGTTTATGCTCTTCAACCCTTCCACTGCTTGTCGTCTAACTTCTCCCACCCGAACTGTGTCCTTTAGATCCCCATCGTACCATCTCCCAAGACTCTTTACTGGCTTCTCAGAAACTGTTGGTATTGCCTCACCATTAATGAAGAATGTTTTATCTACTACCTTTCCTTTAACTATCGAGATGCTCCTTGATTTAGAGGGCTTAAATTTCATTCGTGCCCATTCAATATTATCTGTTAACTTCCCCAATAACCGATTAGTGCAGGCTACTGTTGTAGTCATGGTTGTCATGTCATCCATGTATGCTCTGATTGGTGGTAGTCGCATCCCAGAAGCCAAGCGCTCTCCTCCTACTACCCATCTTGATGCCCTCATGATTACTTCCATCGCCATGGTAAAAGCCAGTGGAGAAATGGTGCATCCTGCCATTATTCCAACCTCTAGGCATTGCCATGCAGTGCTGAATTTTGGAGTTGAGAAACTGAATTGCAAATCTCCAAAATAGGCTTTCACTAAATTTGTTATTGACATTGGTACTCTGAAAAAATCAAATGCTGCCCAAAGAAGCTCATGTGGCACTGAACCATATGCATTAGCCAAATCCAGGAATGTCACATGGAGCTCCTTCCTCTCCTTTTTAGCTGACTGAATTCGTTGCCAGATAACATTGATGTGTTCTAAGCATCCTGAGAACCCTGGAATACCCGCTTTTTGAACTGAGGTGTCAATGAAGCCATTCTTTAACAGGTAGGTGGACAATCTCTGGGCAATAATGCTGAAGAAAATCTTACCCTCAACGTTTAATAGTGAAATAGGACGAAACTGACTGATGCTTGTAGCATCTTTTTCTTTAGGTATAAAGACTCCACCTGCTCTGCGCCATGCTCTAGGTACAACCTGTTTTTCCCATGCCACTTTTATCAATTTCCACAGAATTCGCAGAACTCCTGAAGCACTCTTGTACACTCTGTACGGAACTCCATTAGGCCCTGGAGATGATGAAGCCCTTGCCTTTCTCACAGCCTGCTCTACCTCTTTCCACTTAGGTGCACAGACCTCCATTTGGTATTCTGGTGGGTTGATAGGTGGTATGTCTGATGGAATTGACATAGGCTCATGCCTTTTTGCATCTGTATGCGTGTCCTCCAAATATCTCTCTAGCTCAATCCTAGATGTTTTTAAAGTGCCATTCTTCTCACTGGTGAATAACTTCTTTACGAATTTGAATGGGTCTTTATAGAAATTAGCCCTCGCACGTTCCTTCTTTTTGTAGCGTTTCCGTAGGCGCTCAGCTCTGCGTAATGTTGCCAGCTTATCTTTTATGGCCCTTTGTAAGAGATTGAGTCCCTCCTTCTGACTTTGTTCGGCTCTTTTCCATTGCTTCCTCAGCTGTCTCCTTTCTCTAACTAACCCTTCAATTTTCTGCTGCCGTCTAGACATTCCAGGAGTAGTTTGTACTTTTTCCTTCCTTTTTTCCACACCAAACCTCTCACTTCCATATGCGTAAATGATGTCCCCAAATTTATCCAGCTTCTTTTCAACTGTACCAGTTAATCTTTCCAATGCAAAGCATAGATCTGTGTTTACCGTGTCCCAT